CATTTTTCTCTCTGAATATGGACAAAAGATATAAATGCCAGCAGCTTGAATAGAATTTCATCATCGATGAATTTCAACGCTCGCGAGGCAGGGCAAACTGAACGTTATAATTCAAATTTCTTTATAAAAGCCTAAAATAGAATGAAAAGCGAATTGTTCGAGAAGCCATCGCAATTGTCATGCTGATGACACTAAAATAGTATAAAAACTGTGCAACAGATTCTACCCCATCCAATCATGGAACGTCTATTTCTTGCTTTTGTTATTATTGGAGTTGTCGCGGTCAGTTCTTGATAATAATCCATTGCTTTAGACATTAACGAAATTATCTTTCTGGCGAGTTCCCAAGAGCCAAGTAAAGAAAGAGCAGTTCCTGTGGAGCTGACCGGAAATCTTTTAAGGTTGGTCAGTTGGTGCCACCATCGAAAGGCAGTGGAACTGCCCAAGAAAATACAAACCCACCCAACGACAACCGGACAGTTGAAAACAAAACGGAGGTTACCGGAGCTGTCACGGTTAGTTCTTGGTAGTAATACATAGTTTTACACATCTAGATAAATTATCTTTTTGGCGAGTTTCCAAGAGCCAAGTAAAGAAAAAGCAGTTTCTTTAAAGCCAGCCGGAAATTCTTCTGCGGTCGATCAGGTAGTGCTACTATCGAAAGGCAATGGAACCGGACAAGAATTCGTGTACGCTAGAATAAATACCGATTTACCCTACGACAACCGAACAGTTGAGGAGGAAACGGAGGTTAGAAAGGAGTTGCGGGTTTCCCTTCAGTTTCATACAGCCCCATCAACTTCAGCTCAGAAACAACGTTTCACGGCTAGGAACGGTCATCTCATTCGGGCCGATGAAATCTTTCGCCTTTTCCATTGTACCCCTTCTCGATTACTCGGTAATGCTTCAGCCCGGCGACTGCTCTAAGGTAAGATCAAGCTTGCCTTAAGCTTGAGTACTTTCTACAATAATCTGATTTGTGGCAAATATTAGTAGCTGCATCTGATTAATAGATAAGGTAACCGTTTCTTTGGTTGTATTTTTATGTTTATGGTGTTATTTTATAGGTGATAAGCTATATCACGGATGTTGTGCTCAACACGAAATATGTTTATTCGGGGAATGTGTTTTGCGAACCGGTGCGCACTACAACTAATTTCACCTCATACGCGGCTCACATAACAAAGGATAGTATAATCAAGACCCAGAGGGAATATGAACGATTGCCTCCACGAGGATCGTAAAAGTTTCTGATTTACTTTTCAATAAAGCTGAGTGATTCCTTTTGTGACAACACCTTTGAGACAATTATCAAAAATGTATTGAGAACTATGATACAATGAATTGAGGCTTGCAACAGCTCATGGCTCAGCCTTGGTAGCATCATTGAAACATATGGAAACACATGGGAAGATAGTACGAGATACCCTATTTGAATTCAAGAACAAGATCGCATTCTTGCGGTATTTTCATTAAAAAAAGGAGTTGTGATTTCTATCAAAGCCATTATCACCATCATGCTATATTTGGGTGTCCAAAAGTTCGTGACCATTTCAATTTTTTTGATTCAATTTGGTTCAAAAGAGAATATTAATGCATGAAATATGCACCATTACCGTCAACAAATTGTTGTCAACGACCGGGCAAGAAGGGATGAATCGCCTCCAGAAGTCCTGCAGTTTCAACTAGAAAAAAAGAATCAGGTCATTTCTGAGATCTCCAGGGCTATCGTATTTCTGCCTGCAAGGTGGAACAAGAGTAGTGGTTGTCGGAAAAGGCTTGATTGGGGGTTGCGGTAGAATTTCCTAGCCAAGTCTCACGATCTCGAGTTGTCGACGTGTGGTCTTGCAATGTCGTGGAGCAGGTAAACTTTGTTGAATTCCAGAAAGTTTGACTGGAGCTTTTCTTCTGAAGTTCGTAGTCGACTGCAGAAGACTTCGCTCCGAACCATGGCATTAGGAAGGAGTAGCTTCCAGTGATACACTCCGCGAATACCCTACTAGATCCACAGATTCATACCAGATAGATCTAGCCTAACAGCCGAATCATCCCTTCCTGATGGATCCAGCCAATGTTGCCTCCGACAGTGACTCACGTAGAGCACCACTTCTCATACACAACAGTAATGTGTCCAACCGGTCCCTCTGGCGGGAGCGGAAGGGAAGTAGAGGAAGCCAATGATCAAACTTCAAGGTTTATCCTAGATAGCGATAGTCCCGTTTACGGAATATTTGAAGCAGCTGAGTGATTATAGGGAGCAAGGGAGATTCGCTTCCACCCGGGGGCGTAGCCGATTCAAATCAGAGTCATAGCGTGAGAAGAAGTTTTTCATTCACTGTCGTTCGGATGATATAAGCAGGTTGGGCAGACGGTATCACTACAAGATTTTGTAATGTGAATTACATAGTCTCATTACATTACTACCATTACAATTACAGGATCACAACATCAATGTAAAAAATTTTTTGCTATTTCCAAAAAATTGACACAAACTTTTGAGACAACCTATCTAACGCGCTCACCTTTGTCTGGCTATTTGTCCAAAATCAAAAGCGCATAACTGAGCTTAACGGAGCTCAGCCCGCAGGGGTGGGGCATGCATAGAAGGACAGGTGTGTTGAGCGGAGCTTCGTTATAAGGTTTGATACCATACCAGACGTCGGGAAAAAAGAGCGAAGGTCAGACATGGGTCACCAAATGAAACGAAGGAGACCCATTCACGTTGGCGGTACTTTCCACATAAACCACAACTTTCAAAGGGGGCGTGCAAAGAAAAAATAATAAAAGTTAGCAAGGTCTTATGAGTGCTGGGCATGCGTAAACAGCCCACGTTGACTAAGGCATCTGTCTGAAGAATGAGGTTTTTCTTGAAAAAAGAATCACAAGTTAATTCAAACATGGGTGTAATACAAAGAATATGGCCGAATCCCTAAAGTGTGCGGAATTTGCACTGTGGTGGGCGAATCCTAGATCGAAAAATTCATAACTCTTTTGAAAAACGTCTCAGAAAAGGAAAAAGAGGTTGGAGGTAAAAAAAGGAATGTGGTTAAACCCTCGAACTAGACGGGGTTCGAATCAAAAAATCACAACACTAGTCAAGAAGAAAAGATCCAGAAATAGTTTTTTTTCATAAAGTGATCATCATAGCTTTCTATGTGTAAAAATAGGAAAAACGTGCAAAGCTCAGGAATGTTCCAACAAATCATACGAAGGGAATTTGTTGGCAGAGAGCTGAGCGTGCTCGAACTTTGTGCACAGGCACATAGCCCACCACTGCCTGGAGCCAAATTCTTGAGGGGTAGAATTTAGATATATGATTTCAACACTGTTCGATGCGTTCTTTTTTGTGACGGGCGAAGTCCAACTGGTTTATCATGGCTATTGGTTTAGTTTTATCATCAAAACTTTCCACTCTGAAACACCCAAAATCTTTCCAAAAATTCATGGAGCTTTGTCCGTTCCTTGATCTGACCTTCATCTCTCGTTTGGACTTTCTCATTTGTTTTGCTGGGAACTTCATTTGCTTCTTTCCATGTGTGCAATGAAGAAAAATGATCAAAGTAATAAAGTCATTTAAGGAACGTTACCCAGCATCGGCGAAGCGGTTCTCATCGACAGCATTACCAGTGAGTTGCTCCAATACCCGTAATGCTTCTTGATCATGACCCGCTTTGTGATAAGCTGAAATATGGCACATGGCTTTTAATGA